CTGGACTTTTCTCCTCGAACAATTCAACTGGATTTCTAGATTTTACATAATGAATATTTTACATTACTTACGGTAACATGGATTAGCAAATAGCGCATTGCCGGGAGAGTCACATTCGCACGATCACTCAACTATGTCCATTGCCGGTTAAGCCACACCATTTTCAACTCTGTTTTTCTTAAATGTGGCTTTCCCGTAGCTCATTGCCAATATAGATCTACATCCGCGGCAAACACAAAGCGTGGGGTGAGGTGTGTGTCAGGGTATGTTATGTTAACCTTATGTGGTTACAGAGTAATACAGACTACCTGGCCTAAAATTCACACCTGATAAATCCACTTAAGTCACCAGAAGCCAAGCATTGTGTATGGCGATTATATCATGTCTAGACGTTGCCAGTTGGATCACTGAGGTGGGAATATTACCATCTTTGTCGTTTTTTGCTATAATCACTGCTCTTGTATAAGCTGCCTCTTAATTTGTACTGCCATACTATTTTGCACAGATGGCACCATTGTATATTGGTTTGTGAACTTATTTAATTCTAGAATACTATTGTCAATTACAGCATTTTTTGCTGTTTAGGGGCGGTGGGGTAGCCTAGTGGTTAAAGCGTTCGCTCGTCACGCCGAAGACCCGGGTTCGATTCCCCACATGGGTACAATGTGTGAAGCCCATTTCTGGTGTCCCCCGCCGTGATATTGCTGGAATATTGCTAAAAAGCGGCGTAAAACCATACTCACTCACTCACTCGTTGCTGTTTGTTGGTTAGCTTAGGTTAACACGTAACAACCTAAAACAGCGTCGATCCTTACTTTTTCAGGCAAATTGCATTATAATACAAACCTTACTACACCCTTCATGTCATCCATGTTTTATTGTATTAACCCTACACTTGTGTATTGGTCGTCATTCACTTGGTGCTCAGTTTATGATTGTATTACAGTTATAGATTAAAGGTAGCGGTGCTCTGATAACCTGACTATGTAAAATAAGGAAAGTTCAGCCATAGGGAAGTCAAGGATAGCTGGCAAGCAGTGATTTGCATTTGGAAATACAAATGCCAGGTGTAACTATTTAGCCCAGGATTGGGTTATGAAAAGGTTTGACTGGGCGAATGTATTACACGTGTTATGTAATATGGCAGAGCAGCAAGAGAGGAACTGTCATGTATTACATAGATACAGGCCACACACTGCTATGAACGTTTGATGATCTTTTGTTTGATATTTTTATGTGTAATTGTCAAGTTTAGTGTTGCATACGATATTATTTACCTTTAGACATCTCTCTAATTGTACAGTCCGAGGTAGATCCAGTGCCGCCCCAGCCCACTTCACATACAACGTTCACCTTTCAGATTTTATGAAAATGTGCATCAGAAAAAAACCTTTGTATCCAGAGGCTTAAGGGATCACTTCACATGATAATTTGAATCTGAATGGTAATCCCGAGTCGCTGAATGTATATTTTAACACCTTTAAGCTTTGTTTACAATGACCATCTGTGACAATGTGCACATAGCTTTAACCAGGAGAATAGAATACACGGTAGATTATCCCTGCTTTAACATAAATGAATATTCATGATTTCCATTGTTCAGCGTGAAAGGTATACAACGGTATAATATGAGAGGTGGTTTAATATTCTGACTGGACATAATCTAGCCCGAGTCTGTAGGGATAAATGAAAATTCACACAGATAATATTTCCGCACCGTCGATTGTCAGGCATATTTATCATTAAGGGAATATATATACGGTAATTACCGTATAATGGTAATAAATGTGATTACCTGCGGAGCCGTTGAAGGGCGAAAGATCTTGTGCAGATATACTGGAGTTTTGGCAAGAAGAAATATCTGGCCTCATATTTTATATATTTATTGCTTATACACTTTTATAAGCTTGCACATCGAGTTTGATAATAAAATTTGTTAGATTATTACAAATAATTTTTGCCTGCACCTAAAACTCATTTTACCGGTAACTACTTTATATAATGAAATATTCGTAATCTTGTCAGAAAATATTCTAACAGAGGACATAATCAGACTTGACTAAAACAATTAAACTGCAGCCAACCCGGTTACCCTATCACATAACTAGTTTCCCGATCCTTTGAAGAGCGTCAGTGTAGAGACGGAATCCAGCTGGACTTATCCGGATGTGACGTCAAATAGAAGCGGCTTTACCGGCTCTTGGTTTGGCGCAAGTTGACCAATCGCAAAGGGAACCGGGAACCAGCCAAGGAAAATGGGGACTTGGGGACGTAACTCTGAATATACACCTACTTGCAATGTTTAACGGTAGAGCACCTGTACAACAGAATGCGGTTGGCTTAATTTACAACAAATAAACGTTTTAGCAACTGGAGGTGAGGTGAGGTGAAATTGGGTTTAACGTCGTGCTTGAGAATATTTCGCTCATATGACGACGTGCATGCGTTTGTACATGTATGTGCGGCTACTTGTACTAGCCCAGACTGAAGCTGGTTTTTTATAGTGTTTTAAAGCCCACTCAGATACCATGCCGCAGTGATGCATGAATACCCCACTCAGACACATAAAACTGACTCCGAGCCGACCAGTCCATGTTGTACCCTTTAATGCCGAGCGCCAGGCAGGGACCAACAAGTACCATATTTTAACGTCTTTTGGTATGACGCGGTCGGGGATCGAACCGGCGACCTTCCGCTCTCCGGGCGGACGCTCTAACCACTACACCACGGAGGCGGTCTTTAGCAACTGGAAATATAGACTGTTGATAATAAAAGTTATGGAAAAAAAACCCATGAAACATTATGGTTATTATGGAGCATATCAGATACTTTCATGAGATACTGATACTTGACACACTAGCTTTTATACTTATATTTCTGTGCCATATCTGTACTCCAAGAAGTCTATCCAACGAGCATCAAAGACTTGCTTAAATTTCAAATATTAAGGAAGAAACATATTGACCCAACACAATCTTTCTCCATGGTACTGATTCGACTGAAAACATAACACATTATCTGGGGTGTATTTACCCTAATTCATTGTAAGTTTTCTTTGTGCATGGTATGGAATTAAAAGATAAAGAATACTTTTCATCTTGGCACAGTGACTTTTCATTGATACATTCTGGCTCTTTTAAATCATTGTAAGGCCAGACCAATTTTATTTCTTGTTTTACGGAGTTTTGTCCTCAGAAAACCTAAAGGCAGGAGGGAAAAAAACACACAATAAAATCACCAGTCAAAGTAATATTCTTTCTAAATACTCAAAGTATGGTACTTTTGGCAATTTATGAAGTGTATATGGGGCAAAAAACAATGTAAAAACAAAATTTCTAATATGTTTACATTTCGGCTAATGAAAACTTTAGGACTTTATTTTTTGAGCATTTTTATTTTTTTCTTATTCTTGAAAAAATATACGACAGGTGGATCTGTAATACAAGAAATAAAATTGGTCTGGACTAAACTGGAAAAACACATAAGACATGATATTCATTATTAAAACTAATTTAACATTATTTACATAATCTAATGTTTATATGTTCCCCGAAGGATAATATATATCTGCCATTTTTTATATGGGGTACAGTTACAGAATGGATGAATAGTTGTCAGTAGACGTGAGTAAATATACACCAAGCAGATAAACTTATGTTGATTAATGGCATATAGTACTAACAATGGATTTAGTTGACGGAGATCCTGCCTTTTCTGAATGTACGCATCTTTCAGGATTTGTACAAAGCGTTTTAAGATGACCTGGCATGCTGTTACATGGCAGTGTTATTCACAGTGTTGTAATTTAGTGACAATGTTTCTGTTAAGATACACCCGACTTAGGCTGTGGTGTGTTGGCTGCCATAGTCAGGGTCAGAGTGGAGACTGGACAGGAAGATTCTTGAGTTTCCCGGCCATTCCCGCGCAGCTTGACCCAGAGAGCAATTCCTTTATTTTTTTTTAAAACAGGAAGCAAAATCTTGTCTTGGTAAGATTAAATTACATCTCACATTACAAGAAGACCAGGAGTTGTGTGAAGATCACTTTTCACTCTTGATTCACCGGCAAGGCCTATTACAGAAGCTTGACGGTACTGGGTAGCTAGGTAGATATTATCACAACTGTCTGTATTGATTTTATACCACATTGTCATGGTACATTATAACATATTCAGCCATTGGATTTTTAATACCAATGTAATTCTTTAGTAGTTGTTTGTACCCCAGTTAGAACATCCTCAGGTGGAGATTTATCGGAACATATACCCTGGAGAATATTGAGGATGATGTTACAATACAATTGGTAATTACGTACAATGTTGTTTGTGGGTTTACACATCAAACTTCTTAACCTTTCGAGTTAACTTATTGTTTCAACATTATTATATACTAAGCAAAGTATGTAACCATATCTCTGACTGTACAACAAATATTAACTATTGGGACATTGTAACTGTGAGCTTACGTCATTTCACTTTGTCCATTCATCAATTTCACACACTGTGAAGCACGTTATGACACTTTGAAATAACTGAGTCCGGCTAATGAGAAATCTTAAAGCTCTGTGGTGACGAGGTTGATGGTAGCGCCCCACACTGCTGATGGTTTGTTGTTAGTTTCACAACACTTGCCCTATAACTTATTAATGATAGAAAATGCAGACAATATTGTATCCAAGAAAAGAAAAGTAAAGTGCTCTATTGTTTCCTAGCCGGAGTTATAGCAGAAATTGAGGCTAGGTTCAAATACTGCCAGCCTATCACATACTGTTCTCCGTTACACGGTTGTCTCCCATTTGTTACACATGCCAGTTGTTACACACTCTGATGTTGCCAGTTGTTACACAGTCAGGTTGGGGGTGTAACAAATGGGAGGATACCCGTTACACTGTTTCGCGCAGGAAATATATGGAATCAGAGACCATATAATAAATATTTTATTATTATATGGTCTCTGATGCAATCTAATATTATCTGTTTAACAAAAAAGACTATTCAAAAGTAATAAAGATAATATTTATTCTTCATATTTCATGAAATTCATCTGGAAGCAGATTTCTGGAGTTTGATGTTAGGTTTCACTGAGCATTTAGTAATGATTTCATTTAATACACTCACACACACAACAACATTCTCTCCGCTATTTTTTTAATTCCATGGCTAACAAAAGTTTACAGAAACACATACATACATTAATATGCCAAGGGACACACAAACACTTCCCCACATTGTGCCGTAATTAATATCCAAGATGTACTTGTGATTCAGACTGTACGTCCCCTCAACCGAGTCCTACTTAGAGGTGACTACATGGATTAAATGGTCAAGATTTGTGACTTGATTGATTGCATGTCATTTTATCCCAACTGCATAGATTGATGAAAGTAGTCTTCTTGATCTTCTGTACAGAAGTGGGCAGTAAACAAACAAAAAACAAACAAAAAACAAACAAATATACACATCCATGAGTTGGTACTAGCTTGACATGAAGACAAACTCTATGTAACCCATAATATAATTTTCAAACAAAAAGTAACAATGAAAATACAACTGATAGTATGCAAATTAAATCTCTATAACAGTTTAAGTGAAATATACATCTATTGACGTGAACAGTCCAGTGTGAGTGAGTGAGTTTTAGGCTTCTTTTGCAATATTCCAGCAATATCATAGCACTGGGGCTTTAATAATAGAAATGAGCTTCACACAAACAGTCCGTCAGTTGTTTAACACAGAAGTTCACAATATTCCAGTTATATGACTGAAAAAGATTCTATTTTGTAGACATAATCCAGCTCCGCAGAACTCTGCATGACTGAAAAAGATTCAATGTTGTACCCACATTCCAGCTCTGCAGAATTCTGGAGAAGGTACTAAAGATTAGAAGGTTAGATCTGAAGCATACAGTACAATGCAACAAGAGGGTGGTTTTACAGAGAATGTTGTGACAGAACACGAGGGCACAATTCCTGCTACATTCAGGAGGCTTGTAGTTGATTCAATTGGAGTCATACAAACCAGGGTTGAAAGGAAGAAATACAATCAATGCAATCACCATCCAATCAATAGTGGAGATTTATCGTAATGTATACCCTGGAGATTATCGAGGATGTGCAATCACAGTATGATGACAATTAAATCATCAAGGTCATTCACTGTGACCTTGACCTAGTAAACAAAGGCATGAGACTAATGAAGACGATTGTAAGTTGTAACTCAGTTATGTTAAAACAGACTGTAGCAGCTAGAGATGACATAGAGAAGGGTGGTTGAGTAGCATGGTGGTTAAACATTCGCTTAATAACACTGAAGACCCGGGTTTGGTTCCCCACATGGGTACAACGTGAAAGTATTTTAGGAGCCCTTGCCATGATATAGTTGGAATAATGCCAAGGTGGCATAAAACCATACTCACTACCTTGGGAGAACTCGGGCCAATGCTGTAATGGTTATCTACACATACAGAGTGAGGTACATATTTTATGCTGAATAAGAATTTTGATTGGTTGATATTATAAGTAAGTAGAACCTTTATATCAGTACATCTTTATATCAGATGTTATCAGTACAATGGCGTAGACGGTGATGGATATGATGTGTTATAAACATCTGATGAATATGATGTGATATCAGTGTATCTTTATAAATCTGAAGATATGAAGTGATATCTGTATATCTGCAGGAGGGATGGAGAGAGCTGGTCCTGCCGCTAGTGAAGTCTGTTCCTGGTAGTTGACAGACGTGCCCGCGACCCCGAGGTCTGCTTTAGATGGTCGTATCTGTGCTGTTCTTCCTGAATACAGAAACAGTGCTTAGTCAGGTCACTAGTTACCATGGGCACAGATATACTGGAACTGCATGTTTCACAGGAGATACAATATACAGTGGAAACCTGATAAGTAAAATTTCAAGGGACTCGCCAAAATTGTTCACTTATCAGGTATTTTACTTATCCAAACTTATAAAAACCTGCAATGACAACCATATGCATGTATATGTATACAGCGGAATAACAGACAACATTTGTGAGTAATATGGCCTCCAGTTGTCAGTGTATTGTCAACTGTCATGACGCCAGTGAGCTGTAAGTAGGATGTTTGTTTAGCTGGAGACTGACACGTGCCCCTCATGTCGGATCATTTAGTTATCCAGTCTCTTTTGTTAAGTAATTTACTTCCAGGGACCGTGTGAAGATTTAGCTAAGCGTTATTGTTTACTTATCCAAGTTTAGTTAACCAGACTCTAATAGTGATAATTAATGAAGAAATTTGCCGGGACCAAAGAAAAGTGTTTACTTATCCGATCTCTTTAGTTAAGCGGTCTTTACTTAGGCGGTTTCCACTGTATACAGATAATATCCGTCACTTCAGCACACAGTACAACACACTGCCACATCCAGTTCCATCACGTATACAAGGAACAGAGGAAAGGCAGTGTGATGGAAGCTATATTCAAATCTACATTTTTCTCTTACCTCAAATTGATTCATTTTTCTCTTCTTCTAACACATATATCAACATTATGTATTAAATAAAACTAAGAAAGAACTTGGTTATGTATGTTTTAAGTCTGAGAAAGTGACAGAAAAGACTAAGATGTACAGAAGTGGAGGTTAGACATGTAAGCAGGTGTGAATCCCTCCTTTTACAATAGTCATACCAGCAGGAGTGTATGTCATACGTTACTACACCGTCACATATCAGGTGTGTAAATCTTCCCTTACAATATTTTCAAATATGTATTGTATTTCATAGCGGATTCTACTGATACTTATATATCAGCAAATGGTCTATTTACAAATATCCTCTCATATGAACATAGAGATATGTTCTGCTTTCTACATAATATGGTAACTGTAATAAGTAAGTGTATTAGCTTCATAAATGGTCACGTAAGTGACTTTCTGTATTCATGATACATTCACGTACAGAGAAATGTGTGTTAAGTTATGGTTTATAACATACAATGTACTAAACTATATCTGTTTTACTTCTTTATTAATACAGTATATGTTACTAGAGTTTGTGAGAGTACAGTGTGACTAGACGTTTTCTGATATAGTGGTATCAGTAGTATAAACATATACTGAAGCAAATACATTGTCCTGTAGGCCTCCTTGAAACTGGCCGCATCACTGGCCCAGTACACCGTCTCTCTCTTCTGCTACAACACTTAAACACTTTAGGCCTGTAAGTAACTAGCACCACCAATTTCCCATTACACCATGAGGCTCTAATCTGCTACAACACTTAAACACTTTAGGCCTGTAATTAACCAGCACCACCACTGGCCCATTACACCATGAGGATCCTACAACATTAAACACCTGTAATTAACCAGCAGAGGATCTAATCTGCTACAACACTTAAACACTTTAGGCCTGTAAGTAACTAGCACCACCAATTTCCCATTACACCATGAGGCTCTAATCTGCTACAACACTTAAACAGTTTATACCTGTAATTAACCAGCACCACCACTGGCCCATTACACCATGAGGATCTAATCTGCTACAACACTTAAACAGTTTAGGCCTGTAAGTAACTAGCACCACCACTGGCCCATTACACCATGAGGATCTAATCTGCTACAACACTTAAACACTTTAGGCCTGTAAGTAACTAGCACCACCACTGGCCCATTACACCATGAGGCTCTAATCTGCTACAACACTTAAACAGTTTAGGCCTGTAAGTAACTATAGTACTGTCGGAAATAGAAAAAAACTGTTTTGAGGCTGTTACTCTGTATCCCTAAAATTTACACAATTACAAATAGCATATTTCGAAATAACCCACTTCGGCCTAACTGGGCATTCAGTGGGATGCGTAATAGGATATCCAGAAAAGCATGTTTACTCATAAAATCGGGCAAAACTTATAAAAAATACGAATAGCTGCTGAAAACAATAGATCAGACCATAGATGGCAATTAGGTTGCTCAGCCAGGTATGACGACAGACCGTTGACTCACCTGGCATGAAATGCACATGCTGCCTACAGGCACAAGGGGTCATCTCAAAGATATTTTGTGCGTTTTTATGTGTGTTTACTATGTCTCATCTACTGATTAACATCTTACGTGTCTTTCTTTCATAAAGTTTATGTTGAGATATGTAAGAGAGTATGATACCCGAAAACCATAGAAACGCATCGTAGTATATAGGTGGCATGACCACCCGAAGATCGACAGGACTGGATATTATTTGTAAATTGTTATGACGTGCCGTGTACCTCCCCAGTATGATTGCCCTAAAGGATTATCTTATCTTAGCTGATATCTCTATCCCCAAGCCCGATCCCAGGTTTTGCTTTTGAGGCGACCCCTCCTATCTGTTTCTTTTTATAGTGACAGTGAGACTGCATGGTAGCTACATCCTTAATAGTTTCGGCATAAAAGTTATTATTTTTTACGTCAGCTATCGTTTATAATGAATCTACGTCTTATTTCAAATTGGGCATTTAAAAAGTGTCCTTTGTAATACAATATCGTCGCACACTAATTTGCATAAAGCCATGGTCTGTTCCAAATAAGTCTTTGCTTATTTCTGTACTAATTTCCCCTCAGTAAAGTCCTTTTTCTCCGTTTCCTATCTCCCTACCACTGAGACTGTCGTAAGGCCGAACTTAGTTTAACAGATATTTCACACTTTTACATATCAACTACATAAATTGTAGAGATAAATCAGAAAATACAGTTTTTTTCTATTTCCGACAGTACTATAGCACCACCACTGGCCCATTACACCATGAGGCTCTAATCTGCTACAACACTTAAACACTTTAGACCTGTAATTAACCAGCACCACCACTGGCCCATTACACCATGAGGCTCTAATCTGCTACAACACTTAAACACTTTAGACCTGTAAGTAACAAGCACCACCACTGGCCCATTACACCATGAGGCTCTAATCTGCTACAACACTTAAACACTTTAGACCTGTAAGTAACAAGCACCACCACTGGCCCATTACACCATGAGGCTCTAATCTGCTACAACACTTAAACACTTTAGACCTGTAAGTAACAAGCACCACCACTGGCCCATTACACCATGAGGCTCTAATCTGCTACCACCACTGGCCCATTACACCATGAGGCTCTAATCTGCTACAACACTTAAACACTTTAGACCTGTAAGTAACTAGCACCACTGGTCCAGTACACCGTAAGGCTCCTCTGCTACAAGACTTGACAATGACAACCAACGAACAAAGTTCTTGTGACTGACCTCATTGTTGCCTTGTAAAACAACCATAAGGGACGTATTCTAACATGGTTCATTGCCATTACATCAGATGATAGCACTTGCTACTGCTAGACAAAGATCTCTGGACCACAGGGGCGTGTCACGCTTAGAAACAGCGGTAGAAAGACATATAGGTATATAGACCCAACCCTAGTACTATATAAAAGGAAAGGGATGTAACGACGGAACCACCCCCTCCTCAATCTAAGTTAGATTTCACCATGTAAACTATTTTAAGGCCCCGTCGAGACCTACGGATCGACCAGATGATTTCCGAGATCGGTCAAAGCATTATTTCAGATGATTTCCCTCCGCCTACAAAAAATCATGATTACCCAAGACGGCGAAAACTCACCTTTTAAATTAGGTCAGCACCTATGTAGGGCTATCATTATTTCTAAAACTTTTCTCCAAAAATCATCGGCAAAAAACCATCATAAACTACTCACTTGTCGGCCATAGATGGCCTTGACATTTGAGTGACCTGAGCACTAAATTTGTAAGAATAATTTTAGAGGTTAAATATTTATAAATATAATTTCCTAAAAATGAATCAATATCGAATGCCTTTTTACAACCTCTAAAACCATTCTTAACAATTTACTGTTCCGTACATAATCCAAAATATAGGATTATTGCAAAGTTCATATTTCGCGCCCATTAGCAAACAGTCAAAATCTTACAGTATATTACATTTTCCACCAATCGGATGGCCCAATTTCGTTTCTGCGAATCTGCTCAGATCACTTGAATGTCAAGGCCATCTATGGCCGACAAGTGATTTTGATTGCCGATGGTTTTGGAGAACATGCCTGCTTACTGTCGAGGAAATGATTTGTAGATGTTGCAATAAGTTTTTAGACCCGTGGAATGGCGCTGCCGATCGAATCTAGCCCTACATAGGTGCTGTCAACGTGGCTGGAATTAATAAACAAATTTAAAAGGTGAGTTTTCGCTGTCTTGGGTGATCCATGATTTTGGCTTGGAATTGCGGAGGTAGCTGTTTTCGGTGAGTCGTGGCGTATAACTTTTGAAATAATGATCCGATTGTGACCATTTATAGCTCATTTTGTAGGGAAATCATCTGGCTTTCAATCCGTAGGTCTTGACGGGGCCTTAAAATAGTTTACGTGGTGAAATCTAACTTAGATTGAGGAGGGGGTGGTTCCGTCGTTACATCCCTTTCCTTTTATATAGTACTAGGGTTGGGTCTATATACCTATATGTCTTTCTACCGCTGTTTCTAAGCGTGACACACCCCTGTGCTCTGGACATCATGTAACTACATCAGAGAGACCTCTAAAAACTCGGATCAACTAATGAAATGATAGCAAGCAAATCAGAGAGCAACTTTCTCAAGCTTTACAGAACTAGTGTCAAACTTATAATCCACTTCCATTCAAGAGTTGTTTTGAAAAAAATACTTATTCAGAATCTAACATAAAGAAAATTCTGAATAAACTACTAGATGGTCCAGATTGTTTGTCAGTACATAGGCTATGAAAAGAGTCTTCCATTCAAATATTTATGCCACGGAAGTGATCTTTCCTGATCTGATTCCTTGGATGAAAGGTTGTTCTGATGTGGTCAAGTTGTCCTCAGATCTTTGTAAGGTGGTAGCAAGCACTAAGGTATAATTTTAGTGAGATTGAACCCAGGTTCTTCATAGGGAGACAAAAACAGGTTGTGAGTGGGGACCTATTGTACACTGGTTCCTCATGGGGAGCCAAGCCCACGTTGTCTTGACCAAGTCAGTCACCACCCAGTCCATTCAGACACCTCGACAACCAGCATAGGTTGCTGAGCAACTGGTGGAATCAGCAGGAAACGATCAGATCAATAACCAAGAGCTGTGATACTATTGGCAAAGCGCCACATTTTCGTAATGAATATAAAAGGACACAAACCTAGCTTCACCATCTACAGAACATTATCAAAAGATGTCTACGAGATAGAGAAATTTATTGAGAAGAAAAACGATAATATGAAACATTTTTACAGAAAATGGAATGTCCTAGATGCAGTCCTGTAATTTATTTTTCAGTCTTTTAATTCTCTGTAATATTAGCTGGCATCTCAATTGTTAATCTATATTCCCAGTACTATATGTTATACATTGTCTGCTTTCTATTATGCAACCTGTACCATTCTACTCTACCCACATATCTTGTTCAAATGTAACCAAGTAAAGTGAATAAAAATACTTTACAAAAAAAAGAAAGAGCTGTGAGTGTTTGTCGTGAGATTAAGCTGTTAGAGTGTCTCTGTGTATTAGCGCTAGTTCTGCCTGAAGGCTAATGTTAGCTTCAAATAAAGTTACAACAAATATGTCTGGAATCTCCTCTCACCTCTCACTTGCCAAAATGGTCCTGCTAAAAGTAAGGTGAGCATATTTATCCCCTTCCAGTCATGTACTAGGGATATCAAGTACTTGGGGTAACAATACAATATTGTGAAAGGCACAAATGTATTAGAACTAAATTTAATTTAACTTAAAATGTCATCCATGTTCTTGTTTCTTTAAATCTGAATTCTGCAATATTCCAGCTCTATAAAATTGGTATGTAAATACTCAAATCTGGACCAGACAATCTGGTGATTGACATCGTGATCATCAACCTCCACCATCAGGATATGATGACAGCGTCTACCAAGTTAGCAATCCTGACCACCTGTTGGCAGCTTCGAACAACAAACATATGTTGTAGGCAACCAAGTTTATCCCACATCATTATAAACCTGAAGTAATGTTGGAATGTGTACAGTGAGAGTGAACATACCTGGTTCTGAATGAGCCTCTGGTAGGACTGGGGTGGCACCTGGGGTGGCACCTGGGGGAGGGGTCTCCCGGCCATCCTTGAGTTCCCTTGCTCTCGCTGTACAGTGTAGTTCCTGGGAGGCAGTCCAGGGCTGGAGGCACCACTCTGTCTCTGCACATCATAAACATAAAGTTTAACATCTGTGAACCTGTATTGAGTGAGTGAGTGAGTTTGGTTTTATGCTGCTTTTAGCAATATTTCAGGAATATCAAGGCGGGGGGCACCAGAAATGGGCTTCACACATTGTACCCATGTGGGAAATCGAACCTGGGTCTTCAGTGTGATGAGCGAACGCTTTAACCACTAGGATGCATGCACGCAGGCACGCATGCACGCACGCACGCGCACGCACGCACGGCACACGCACGCACGCACGCACAAACCTGTAAATGGCATTGACGCATCATGGATGTAACATCAGCAGAAATCTCTCTTTAAACAGGCCATGAGCCGGTATCACTACATGTAATGTAAGTAACAAATAATTTTTTTTAATCTACATGACAGATTTATTTCAGTTTGTTAATCAATCCTCCATGCGGACACCAGACATGTGTGACTGACAGAGCACCTACCGTTGACCTTGATGGTGTAGCTGCAGGGTCAAGGACAAAGTACATGCGGTTGGAATCGTCCATGAGGTCCATGTAGTCGCAGTCACCACTCTGTAAGACAGCATAATCAGGGTTGGATGGGGGGAGCTAGAGGTGGGGAGGGAGGTGGAGGTGGGGAGGATGGGAGGGAACACATCATGTAGTAAAGTATAACAAGAGTCACAGGTACAGAGCTCACCTTTATAGTTATACAGAACTTGAGTAAGAAAAACGTTTCTAAACTATGTATGTGAACTATATTGAGAGAATATGTTGTTTTCAAACACAGACCTTTAATTATTTGGTCACAAAAGCTCTGGCCTAAAATTCAAAGTAGCTAATCAGAAATATAAGTAGTACTGCCACAAACCACCCTACAGGAACACGATAACAAACCACCCAATTTGTGAGTCGCCTCTTATGACAAGCATGGGTTGCTGAAGACCCAGTGGACCTTCGCATGAAGACTCACAAAAGAAGTAATGACTGTTGTTCCACACATTTTGTCCTCTCAAATGACATCCCAGATAGCACTCGGACTTGGCCCAACGTTGGCAATGTTGGCAAAACCATTGCCAATGTTAGGCCAACGTCTGAATGCTATCTGGGATGCAGTTAATGTTTGTCAGTGTCATTTATATCGGCTGAACCACCTAACCAGTGTCATAGTTCATCAATATGAATGGTTCTCGATGTACAAGTTGGCAAATTGCTGATTACACTACAACTAGAACATGTAACACCAACAAGAGGTTAGCTGGTAGTACTGGCAATGTTTACTGGACTTGAGCAGTCTCTATTTAAAAACTAAAACTAAAATCTCTCACAATACACTGATAAGCAATTAAACAGACTGTTCACATAACACCAATAATTACAAAACATTTTTCCAAAGGTAACATAAATACAGAATAACACAGGTTTTTGTCTATATATTTACCTGTCCACATGGATCAGTCAGCAGACTCTTCCAGTTGGAGATGTGATGCTGAAAGATGTGAGAAGGGTGATATATATCTCATGCCAGCATTGTATTACTTGGCCCTGAAGCACACTATCATAGTACTACATAGGCCTCCATTGCAATACCATCATACTACATAGGCCTCCATCACACTACCATCATACTACATAGGCCTCCATTGCAATACCATCATATTACACAGGCCTCCAACACACCACTGTCGTATGACATGGGCCTCCATCACACAACCATCATATTACATAGGTCTCCATCACACTACCATCATATTACATAGGCCTCCATCACACAACTATCATATTACACAGGCCTCCAACACACCACTGTCGTATGACATGGGCCTCCATCACACAACCATCATATTACATAGGCCTCCATCACACAACCATCATATTACATAGGCCTCCATCACACTACCATCATATTACATAGGCCTCCATCACACAACTATCATATTATATAGGCCTCCATCACACTACCATTGTATTACATAGGCCTCCATCACACTACCATTGTATTACATAGGCCTCCATCACACATCATTGTATTACATAGGCCTCCATCATACCATTGTATTACATAGGCCTCCATCACACTACCATTGTATTGACATAGGGCCTCCATCACACTACCATCATATTACATAGGCCTCCATCACACTACCATCATATTACATAGGCCTCCATCACACAACTATCATATTATATAGGCCTCCATCACACCATTGCCTTGTTACATAGGCCTCCCTCCATCACACAACCATCATATCACACAGGCCTCCATCCACAAACCATCATATGACATAGGTCTCCATCACACAACCATCATATATTACACAGGCCTCCATCACACAACCATCATATCATATCACACAGGCCTCATATGACATCAGGTCTTCATCACATCATATTACATAGGCCTCCATCACACAACCATCATATGACATAGGCCTCCATTGCAATACCATCATATTACACAGGCCTCCATCACACCACTGTCTTATGACATGGGCCTCCATCACACAACCATCATATTACATAGGCCTCCATCACACAACCATCATATTACATAGGCCTCCATCACACAACCATCATATTACATAGGCCTCCATCACACAACAACCATTACATATTCACACAACCATCATATTACATAGGCCTCCATCACACTACCATCATATTACATAGGCCTCCATCACACAACCATCATATTACATAGGCCTCCATCCACACACTACATAGGCATCACACAACCATTGTATTACATAGGCCTCCATCACACTACCATTGTATTACATAGGCCTCCATCACACTACCATTGTATTACATAGGCCTCCATCACACTACCATCATATTACATAGGCCTCCATCACACAACTATCATATTATATAGGCCTCCATCACACCATTGCCTTGTTACATAGGCCTCCATCACACAACCATCATATCACACACGCCTCCATCACACAACCATCATATCACACAGGCCTCTATCACACAACCATCATATGACATAGGTCTCCATCACACAACCATCATATTACACAGGCCTCCATCACACAACCATCATATCACACAGGCCTCTATCACACAACCATCATATGACATAGGTCTCCATCACACAACCATCATATGACATAGGTCTCCATCACACAACCATCATATGACATAGGCCTCCATTGCAATACCATCATATTACACAGGCCTCCAACACACCACTGTCGTATGACATGGGCCTCCATCACACAACCATCATATTACATAGGTCTCCATCACACAACTATCATATTACATAGGCCTCCATCACACAACTATCATATTACACAGGCCTCCAACACACCACTGTCGTATGACATGGGCCTCCATCACACAACCATCATATTACATAGGTCTCCATCACACAACCATCATATTACATAGGCCTCCATCACACTACCATCATATTACATAGGCCTCCATCACACAACTATCATATTATATAGGCCTCCATCACACTACCATTGTATTACATAGGCCTCCATCACACTACCATTGTATTACATAGGCCTCCATCACACTACCATTGTATTACATAGGCCTCCATCACACTACCATTGTATTACATAGGCCTCCATCACACTACCATTGTATTACATAGGCCTCCATCACACTACCATCATATTACATAGGCCTCCATCACACAACTATCATATTATATAGGCCTCCATCACACCATTGCCTTGTTACATAGGCCTCCATCACACAACCATCATATCACACACGCCTCCATCACACAACCATCATATCACACAGGCCTCTATCACACAACCATCATATGACATAGGTCTCCATCACACAACCATCATATTACACAGGCCTCCATCACACAACCATCATATCACACAGGCCTCTATCACACAACCATCATATGACATAGGTCTCCATCACACAACCATCATATGACATAGGTCTCCATCACACAACCATCATATGACATAGGCCTCCATCACACAACTATCATATTACATAGGCCTCCATCAAACTGCAATCGTATTACACAGGCCTCCATCACACAACCATCATATGACATAGGCCTCCATCACACAACCATCATATGACATAGGCCTCCATCACACAACTATCATATTACATAGGCCTCCATCAAACTGCAATCGTATTACATAGGCCTCCATCACACAACCATCATATTACATAGGCCTCCATCACACAGCCATCATACCACACAGGCCTCCATCACACAACCATCATATTACACAGGCCTCCATCACACAACCATCATATTACACAGGCCTCTATCACACAACCATCATATTACACAGGCCTCCATCATCATATTACACAGGCCTCCATCACACAACCATCATATTACACAGGCCTCCATCACACAACCATCATATTACACAGGCCTCCATCACACAACCATCATATTACACAGGCCTCCATCACACATCCATCATATGACATAGGCCTCCATCACACAACTTTCATATTACATAGGCATCCATCACACTACCATTGTATTACATAGGCCTCCATCACACTACCATTGTATTACATAGGCCTCCATCACACTACCATCGTATTACATAGGCCTCCATCACACAACTATCATGTTACATAGGCCTCCATCACACCATTGTCTTGCTACATGGGCCTCCATCATACTACCATCATATTACATGGGCCTCCATTGCACTACCATCAGATTACATGGCCTTCCTTGACATTATTATCACATTACATAGGCCTTCAACACATTATTATCAAATTACAAATTTGGTTGTACATATATTATGTAGAATAGTTGTTAAGCAAAGAGTACTTACTGTTTTATGGTGCTCGATCATGTCATGGAGTGACCGATGAACTTTGCTTTCTCCAAGAATGATAAATTTTCCATTTCTTATCTGGTCAATCATATAATGGCGTGACCTGTCTTCAGCTCTGTCAACAAACAAGTTTCGAAAATTAGGAAATAAGTTGCTGCCTTGTACTGCCATTTACGTCATGATATCAAGGAAGTCAGATGAGTGAATGCTGTAAGATGATGGCTCCCGTGTTGCCATGAAATACGGCACTCTGGAGTTAGTTGCAATATGAAACATTACCATGGTTACAGGTATATACAAGTGCTTACCTGAATGACAGGGTGTAGCCAAAGCGGCTTTCACTGACTCGGATGAGGTAGCAGCCAACTGGCATCCCTTTCAACAGAGCCTCGGACTGTCTGTGAAACAAATGAAACACACTGCTCAAAGCAATATGGATAATGTGGTAAGTATGACATATTATGTGGCTATCACATATTATATAACCATGGTTGTAAGGGTCACAGATCATGTTGCAAGGATCATAGATTATGAGACAAGTATCACAGATTATGAGACAAGTATCACACATTATGTGGCTATCACATATTATGTTAACATGGTTGTAAGGATCACAGATTATGTTGCAAGGATCATATATAATATGAGACAAATATCACAGATTATGAGACAAGTATCACACATTATGTGGCTATCACATATTATGTTACTATGGTTATAGATCACAGGTTATGTTGCAAGTATCACAGATTATGTTACCATGGTTACAAGGATCATAGATAATGTGGCAAGGAAGGTGTTCGGTTGATGATACTTTCAATAATCACTTAGATAATATCCTTTCATGATCAGTTAATAAGGGGTTCAAACTCCTCACAGCAGATCCTTGCACCGCTAAACGGCACAATGTCTGGATGTGTCAGAGGTACTGGGTCCATAGTGCTTATTCCCTCTGAGGTCTTGTCAGCATGAGCATGTGTGAGACTGAGAAATTGGGTCATTGAAGTACAATTTGATTGACCGATTGATTGGAGTTTGCAGAGAAAAAAAATTGTTTGGAGTTAATGCAATCTTGTTTGGACTGCAGATGACACAAAATCCCCAATTAAGTAAGAGTATTTTCTAAACACAAGCCTTACTTCCTGGAGATGATGCCGTGAAACCATGGGGCAAACTTCCCTGACTGCGGCTCCACGACATTCTCAGTCTGGGTGGACTGGAACCAGATGGTGGCCGCCTTCCGCCCTGGGGCTCCAAACTTGTTGCGATTAGAAGCATCAGCTTTGAAATCATCATCCATGATTTCATCGTCTTCATCATCATCATCATCATCCATCTGGAAAACAGTTTATCAGTCTGTAGATATACGTGATGGAGGTAGTGAAGCTCATTCTGCTCTCATAGGCAACTACTACATGAAGCTACATGGTATAACTTCTGCGGTGCACTGAGACAAACAACTCTCTCTTAAAAGGATGACATTCATTCCTCAAAATACCTTACTGTGGACTGTCAGCATTAACAAATAAAGATAAAATATTATAAACGAGCTTTACGCTTTACCCACCCCAGTCCCACATGACACGGTGTGCTTCTCTGGCTGGAGGTAGCTGTTTATGGAACCAGTTGGAGAGTGAAGTGGCAAAGCAGGTGGCTGAAGTTGATCACTCTTTTTCTTGTCTGAAACACAAATATGAAAGTCATAAAAGCATCTTGGGACCTCCATCTCAGGGACTATAAATACCTCTGTTGAGTTATAAGGAACCAATGCTATGCATAGGATATTCCCAACCTTTTAACAAAATGATACTCCACACCAACTGTACAATAGATTTATACTCGACATCTACCGTACAACAAAGTTATATTCCACATGTACCTTACAACAGAGTTATATTCCACACGTACCTTACAACAGAGTTATATTCCACACGTACCTTACAACAGAGTTATATTCCACACCTACCTTACAACAGAGTTATATTCCACACCTACCTTACAACAGAGTTATATTCCACACCTACCTTACAACAGAGTTATACTCCACACATACCTTACAACAGAGTTATATTCCACACCTACCTTACAACAGAGTTATATTCCACACCTACCTTACAACAGAGTTATATTCCACACCTACCTTACAACAGAGTTATATTCCACACCTACCTTACAACAGAGTTATATTCCACACGTACCTTACAACAGAGTTATATTCCACACGCATTGCCTTACAACAGAGTTATACTCCACACATACCTTACAACAGAGTTATATTCCACACCTACCTTACAACAGAGTTATATTCCACACCTACCTTACAACAGAGTTATATTCCACACCTACCTTACAACAGAGTTATACTCCACACATACCCACAACAGAGCTATAATCCTTACAACAGAGTTATATTCCACACCTACCTTACAACAGAGTTATATTCCACACCTACCTTACAACAGAGTTATATTCCACACCTACCTTACAACAGAATTATATTCCACACCTACTTTACAACAGAGTTATATTCCACAACTACTTTACAACAGAGTTATACTCCATACGTACCTTACAACAGAGTATACTCCACACCTACCTTACAACAGAGTTATACTCCACACCAACCTTACAACAGAGTTATACTCCACACATACCTTACAACAGAGTTATACTCCACACCTACCTTACAACAGAGTTATACTCCACACCAACCTTACAACAGAGTTATACTCCACACATACCTTACAACAGAGTTATACTCCACACCAACCTTACAACAGAGTTATACTCCACACATACCTTACAACAGAGTTATACTCCACACATACCTTACAACAGAGTTATACTCCACACCTACCTTACAACAGAGTTATACTCCACACCTAACCTTACAACAGAGTTATAATTCACACATACCTTACAACAGAGTTATACTCCACACCTACCTTACAACAGAGTTATACTCCACACATACCTTACAACAGAGTTATACTCCACACCAACCTTACAACAGAGTTATACTCCACACCTACCTTACAACAGAGTTATACTCCACACCAACCTTACAACAGAGTTATACTCCACACATACCTTACAACAGAGTTATACTCCACACATACCTTACAACAGAGTTATACTCCACACCTACCTTACAACAGAGTTATACTCCATAATTGCACCTTACAACAGAGTTATACTCCCACACCAACCTTAGCAACAGAGTTATACTCCACACGCACCTTACAACAGAGTTATATTCCACACCAACCTTAGAACAGAGTTATATTTCACACCAACCTTACAACAGAGTTATACTCCACTCGTACCTTACAACAGAGTTATACTCCACACGTACCTTACAACAGAGTTATACTCCACACCAACCTTACAACAGAGTTATACTCCACACCTACCTTACAACAGAGTTATACTCCACACCTACCTTACAACAGAGTTATACTCCACACCAACCTTACAACAGAGTTATACTCCACACCTACCTTACAACAGAGTTATACTCCACACCAACCTTACAACAGAGTTATACTCCACACATACCTTACAACAGAGTTATATTCCACACCTACCTTACAACAGAGTTATACTCCACACCTACCTTACAACAGAGTTATACTCCACACCTACCTTACAACAGAGTTATACTCCACACCAACCTTACAACAGAGTTATACTCCACACATACCTTACAACAGAGTTATACTCCACACATACCTTACAACAGAGTTATACTCCACACCTACCTTACAACAGAGTTATACTCCATACGTACCTTACAACAGAGTTATACTCCACACCAACCTTACAACAGAGTTATACTCCACACGTACCTTACAACAGAGTTATATTCCACACCAACCTTAGAACAGAGTTATATTTCACACCAACCTTACAACAGAGTTATACTCCACACCTACCTTACAACAGAGTTATACTCCACACCAACCTTAGAACAGAGTTATATTTCACACCAACCTTACAACAGAGTTATACTCCACTCATACCTTACAACAGAGTTATACTCCATACGTACCTTACAACAGAGTTATACTCCACACCTACCTTACAACAGAGTTATACTCCACACCAACCTTACAACAGAGTTATACTCCACACGTACCTTACAACAGAGTTATACTCCACACATACCTTACAACAGAGTTATACTCCACACCAACCTTACAACAGAGTTATACTCCACACCAAACTTACAACAGAGTTATACTCCACACCAACCTTACAACAGAGTTATACTCCACACCTACCTTACAACAGAGTTATATTCCACACGTACCTTACAACAGAGTTATATTCCACACCTACCTTACAACAGAGTTATATTCCACACCTACCTTACAACAGAGTTATATTCCACACCCACCTTTTGGTTTGTTGACATCCTCCTGTCTAATACGCTCATGGTTCAGGCTGCACGTCACACACAGCTGCTCAATCTGCTGAAGAAGGCCCTCCACCAGACGGCGCTGTTCTACCGCTGCCTGACGTAGACGAGCAGCATGGCGACGTGCAACAAACCCTCGTGCGACTGTAGACATACAATTATAACAGTCTGTAACAACAGGTGGATATAAGTTTTATAAGATTTGTCCAGTGCGAGAGAATCCCCTAACTTTGTTACACAAACTGTTCTTGGTTCATTATTATTCATTGTTATCTTGTTCTGTACATTGCCCAAGTATAGATACTGGAAGCGGGGTAGTATAGTGGTTAAAGTGTTTGCTCGTCACGCCGAAGATCTAGGTTCGATTCCCCACAGTGGTACAACGTGTGAAGCCCAATAAATTTCTGGTGTTCCTCGCCATATGGCTGAAATATTGCTAAAAGCAGTGAAAACTCACTCATTCACTCAAGAATATATATATGTCCATATCCAGTCTGTATTATTCATCTGAAGACGGAGTGAGAATTAACTCAGAAATATCATGCTTAACAAACATAGACGCATGTTCATCACCTCTAAATACGTTCCTCTATAGGTGTTCTACTCACGTTTCTGCAGCATCACCGCTGACACTCCCATGCGTTGCAGGATGTCGGACAGCTGCTCGATGTGCCAGTACTTCAGGAACACCTTTGTCTTCCTAAACACATATATACAGTGTCATTCAAGTACTTATGTATATCATCCGGGGTACTCATACTGCAACTTAAGTCCCGTCCACATGTGTGTATCCATAGCAACTAAATCTGTATATAAAAAAATGCCAAACACAATACAAGCAAGCAGAAACAATCAGCATGCATTCTGGGTTCCCTGTGGATAACTTGACCTGAGTTGCCTGTTTGATGCCAGAAGAAATTTACAAACACACTTTGCAATGAATTTACCCTCTATAATACAACATAACAAATACTAAGTGATTTCTATCCAACATGGCATGGGATTTATCTGTTGGTCTCATACTCGCTAAATGTAGCAAAATGTTCAGATTAAGTGCAAAGTTCGCAGTAAGTACACATGTACTGACCCAACGTGCCAGCCCTTGAGGCCGCTTGCCTGGAGAATCTTCCTGCAGTTTTCAGATGACCCCTTCAGTTTGTGCTGACACAGCAGAATCTTGTACCTACCGACACAAGGGTTCACATGTGATGTACACTATAGTAACTCTTGTCAAGATTACACAATATCCTCCACTTTTATTTTGTTTATTAATGGCAAAATATTTTAATAAGGCCTTCACAGAAAAAATGAGATAGAAAATAAGTATGTTAAGCGTTGTCATGAAAAAGAGATAGGTCAGCATACTTGTCAACAAATTCCTGGAACATAGGCCTCACTGCAAAGCCCTCCCTTCGGATCTTGGTAGTCTCCAACATGCCAGTGTACAGAAGCTACAACATGCACAGCAGATGCATCACCACTACATGTACAACACATGCATGCATGCATGCATACATACATACATACATACATACATACATACATACATACATACATACATACATACATACATACATACATACATACATACATACATACATACATACATACATACATACATACATACATACATACATACATACATACATACATACATTACATCCATCCATTCCATCCATCCATCCATCCATCCATCCATCCATCCATCCATCCATACTAAGGCTGTAATGATTCACTCGCATATTCGGTGAATCGAACTGTAGCTCTTCATGAATTCAATTTGTTATTCATGGTCACCAGAACCGAATATTAACGAATATTTACGATTTTTTTAAGGGAGCATGTTTTACTTGAACCCTTATGTCCTTTTCCTAACTGAGATATGCAAGAATGGAACATGTACTAGTGTTGCAGTAGTGCAAGTCAAGTTAGTTTGCCAAGACTGCACATGGTACTGTCGATTATAACTATTACATACCAAATTTGAGTGTCATGAGATCACTGGTTATTGCTGTGACAAATCAAACTGTCAACACGGGCGTTCCATATCAATCACTTAACTACAATATTGTATTCATGAATCATTATTCGTATTCGTTACCCAATGATGAATAGGAAAGGAGAGATCAGCATCAAAAATATGAGCTTCTGATTGGTTGATTAAGGTGGGACGGATGGGACGTGAATCTGATTGGTCAATCCTACCTGTCTCGATGACGTCACGCTAAAAATAGTTTGTTTGGTATTTCAAATTGCTGTCACAGAACCGGATTAAAATCCTGCCATATCAAATGAAGTACATAATAGTTTTGTTAGTTGGTTAAATCCTTGATGAGATATTCACATATCTATTGAAAACAAAATACTCATTCATGTAGATCTATGAACTGAGATGAAGTATTCAGTCACTGTGAAATTCAGGTGACCTCATACAGCGAGGGTACCAATAAGGTCACACAGTGAGAGCTATGCACAGCAGTTCCATTTACAAGCTCCTATCAGTTTTCCTATTAAGTTTCTCAACCGGTAGTTAACTATAACATCATTGTTTACACATATGTACACAAGTAGTCACACTTATATTTCACTCTTTCCAAAAAGTGTGGACAAAATAAGATTGTGAGGGGAGGGAGAAAGAAAATCACGTAATATGGGAAATTCCCATGCTTTAAATAGTTGACAGTTACACCTCGAAACTTGTCGTGTCTGGAATCAACCGGTACAACTATGACGTCACGTTTAAGGTCATTGTAGTTCAAATGTATAACCAGGGAAAGCTGAGCGCTATTTTTCGTATCTTCATTAACTTTTCACAATCTTATTACACACAATTTAGTAAAGTAAATATTGACAACAGTTATAAGTGAGGTTCTATGTTTTGGATTAAAATCATTCAAACATTTACATAGCAGCTCCTACAATACTGAAAGTGTTGGAATAAACTGGTGCTAACCGCTTATGTAAGAGTGTATAAATAGTGATTTTAAATTCCGCTGTTGTCGGATGAGACAGACGAGTGTTCCAACTGCGTGTCACACCCCAGGTAAAGATTAACCACAAAACACCTTTACATGTTAACATAAATGAAATGCTAAGATAAATTTATAAGTATTTAACTGCACTTGTTTCCCATAACTAGAGAGCACATGAGAAATAGTTCCCAGTTTAGTCAACTTCACATATATCAAATGCCTTTTGTGCAGAAGAAATTGCATAAAATATTTTATGTATAAAGGACATTTTACTAGATTTATATTACCCTTAATTTTAGAATGGCAAGCAACATGGATTAACAGAACTTTTGAACACGGTGCGATCGGTTGAAAACCTTGAGGAATGGGCTAAAGCTAACAATTGTGAAGATGACCAAGAAGTAGCCTTGAAACGAATTCAGTTGTTGGCGCTAGATTTGTCATCGCAACTATCATCAACAGTACAAAAGAAGCATGTTGAGAACAGATGTAATGAGTGTGGTAAAGACTTTAACAGCGACAGCACCTAATGAGACATATCCGGACGGTTCATGGAAATCAACGATTCACTTGTGAGCAATGCAACCACAGCTTTACACGACGGGAGAATTTCAACACTCACCGCTGTCGAAGAAAGTCTAGAGATGTCAGCGAGACTCCCAAACGACGATGCTTACATCCCGTGAACACAGACGACAACACATCTCAAGCCCGTTACGCTACATGCAACTAGTGTGGACACTACAAGTGCCTATTACCTGGCAAGGCCTTTTGTGAAAGATGCTCACACAAAGGTCCCGAGTGTAAGCTGTGTCACCGACCTATGCCTGAGAGGTTTTACTCTCAGCGAGTAGACCAGTGTGACAGTTGTTTTCGCAGACGGGAGCGCTATCAAGAGAGGTCAAGAAATCAGGTCGGTGGCGGACGAGTGGAGGCTCTTGAGGGGTTGGTCTCCACAACAACTCTCACTCCCAGTGAAGGCAGTTTCTCGCAGACGAGAAAACAAATATTGAATCATTATTGCATGATTTCTTCTTAGAGATGAAAGGTTTGAAATGGTTTCTGGTGTTGAAAGTGAAATATATAAAATATGATGAAAATAATGATAGCACTTTGGCAGAACCTGTGATGAGAAGCACGAATTTTATCCTTACAAATCTCTCTGAAAAAGAAGAACAGATTGCAGAGGCCTATCAAACACTGTACATCGCTACTCAGGAATTTCAGGCAGAAGGTAGTGGGTGGATATTGGATAACATTGTACATTTAGAAGTGAACATGGCCGAGTATACTCCCTTAGCAGCCAGCAGTTACATTCCCCTGTCCAATTATCTGAAGGATAAGAAGGCAATTTTGAATATTAAGAACGAGGATTAAAGATGTTTTGTGTGGTCAGTGTTAGCAGCCCTACATCCTGTTGACCGGAAACAAAATGCAAACAGAGTCAACAAGTATGTTCAGTTTGAAAAGGACTTGAATCTAGAGGGAATTGACATGCCCATGCCACTGTCACAAATTCACAAATTTGAAGAGCAAAATGGCATTTCAGTAAATGTTTTTGGCTATGAGGGTGATAATGATGGGGTTTTCCCTCTCCATGTTAGCAAGTGTAACTTTTCAAAAGAAGTAGATTTACTATTGCTAAGTGCAGGGGAAAAGAGACACTATTGTTTGATAAGGAATTTCAGTCGGTTGATGGGAGATAGGACAAAACATAACGGAAAAACATTCTATTGTAAACACTGTCTTCATGGCTTCAGTAGACAAAATTTGCTTGATAATCATAAACTTTATTGTTATACCCATGGTCTGCAGAAAGTTAGATTACCAGACAGTGAAGATGAGAAGTGGGTTAAATTTAAAAGTCTACAGAAGCAGCTAAAGGTTCCGTTTGTAATCTATGCTGATTTCGAATCCATTACCAGAAAAGTTAGCAGCTGTCAACCCAATCCAAACACATCACATACTACAGTCTATCAACAGCATGAGCCTTCAGGATTCTGTTACAAGGTTGTATGTTCAAACCCTGACTATTACAAACCAGCTGTAGTTTACAGGGGCCCCAATGTTATTCAAAACTTCATTGAATGTTTACTCGAGGAAGAGAAGCATATTACACAATTGTTAGATCAGGAAGTACCAATGATAATCACTGATGATGAAGAGCAAGCATTTCAGGATGCCAAGGTGTGTCACATTTGTCATACACCTTTCGGTCCAAAGTCTGTCAAAACGAGAGATCATTGTCATATATCAGGGAGATTTAGGGGTGCTGCCCATCAAAAATGTAATCTTAATTACAAGTTCAAACAAGTAACAGACAAAGAAACCAACCAGAACAAATACTTTCTTCCTGTCATCTTTCACAATCTTAAGGGTTATGACTCCCATCTCATCATGCAAAAGCTGGATAAATCCATCAAGTAAAAACTACAATGTTTGGCTAACAACATGGAAAAGTACATCTCATTCTCTGTTGGCAATCTGAGGTTTATCGACTCAATTCAGTTTCTAAATACATCTCTAGAAACATTGGTAGACAATTTGAAAGCTGAAGGTTCTTCCAAATTTAAGAATCTAAAACATGAGTTTTTGGATCAGCAACAATTTCATCATCTCTTAAGAAAGGGAATATATCCGTATGATTTCATGGATGATGAATCCAAGTTTGAGATGAATTTTCTTCCTTCCAAAGAAGAATTTTACAATGTTCTGAGTGACAGCCCCATTTCAGACAGTGATTATGTCCATGCACAACAGGTATGGTCCACTTTTGGTCTTAAAACAATGGGTGACTATCATGATTTATACATGAAAACGGATGTCTTATTGTTGGCAGATGTTTTTGAGAATTTTAGGAATATGGCTTTAGAATACTATCACTTAGACCCTGCCCATTATTACACGCTGCCAGGTTTGGGTTGGGATGCTATGCTGAAGATGGGAAATGTAGAACTAGAGCTGCTCACTGACTTAGACATGCATCTCATGATAGAACAAGGACTTAGGGGTGGCATATCTATGATTTCCACAAAATATGCAGAGGCTAACAATCCTTATCTGAAAAAGGATTTCAGACCTAGTGAACCCTACTCTTATATCATGTACTGGGATGCTAATAATTTGTATGGTCATGCCATGTCCCAGCCATTGCCTGAGCGAGACTTCCAATGGATGACTCCAGATGACATTGACAGGCTAAACATACAGAGCATCCCTCACGATTCTAAAACTGGATATATTTTGGAGGTTGACCTAAAGTATCCACACGAGTTGCACGACAGTCACAATGACTATCCCTTAGCCCCAGAGTCCATTACAGTAACAAAAGACATGCTTTTCCTCGTTCCCTGGAGTTAAGAGAGAAGCTCTGTATCAAGGGGAAACCTGTTAGGAAGTTAGTCCCAAATCTGTATGATAAACAAAAATATGTTGTACACTACAGGAACCTGCAGTTCTATTTGAATCAGGGACTAAAA